GTATTTTGAGACTTTTAATCTGTGTATAATATATGCTCTGTTATAATAAATACATATATAAATATATACATATATATATATATATATATATATATATATATATATATATATATATATATATATATATATATATATATATTTATATATATATATATATATATATATATATATATATATATATATGAACATTTCTCAGAGTTAATATGTAGATAAGAAAATATTTATAATATAAATGACAATAGGAAGACTGTTACAAATTGCCGACGCGTTTCGTCCAATTACAGTTTTCCTATTGTCATTTATATATATATATATATATATATATATATATATATATATATATATATATATATATATATATATATATACATGTGTGTGTGTGTGTGTATGTATGTGTGTGCTTGTGTTTAATAAATTTGTATACCTACGAAAATGTTTTTATTTAATTCGACCTGCAAATCATTCTTGACTTTCCGGTTTGCGAATATATTTTTGCACATCTTGTGAATAAACTGTCCAATGTTAATGTTTTTTTTTTTTCTTTTCGCCTGAGTACTTTCAAACCATTAATATTCATTTAATGTTGTCAGTGACGCAAACAAAAATTTACATACAGATTCCGCCCCTAAAATGTATACACAAATCAGGAAACAACTTGTTTTTTGTAATTTTATCAAATTGTGATTAAACTGTATACTGTAGTACGATATTTTCTCGACAAATGACTGGGGAATTTGTATTAATCTTGTGATCTCTGAATAAATTTAGTGTGACAATATATATACAAGTTTATATATATATATATATATATATATATATATATATATATATATATATATATATATATATATATATATATGGGGGAGTCAGACTGTCAGTATTTGTCCAGCAATCCTACTTTTATACAAGTTTCTATTCAAGGTACTGCGATTAAGCTTTTTATTCAATTTTTCTTGCATTCCTTTAACTTCTTCTTTATCCTTATTGTTGGCTATAATATTTAAGTTAATTATTTATAAGTTGAATCAATAAAAGTCTTAAGTTCGAAAGACTAAAAATTAAAAAGTATATTTTCCAAATTTAAAAGAAAATGTTGACTTTACATAAACACGCTAAATATCAAGAGTGTTACTCGCTTTTTCTGCTTAAAAACCGCCGTCGATAATAGAAAATGATTGGTGCGTAGTAAAATATATTACTAAGGTAATGTCTTATGGAATAAACTTAACTCTAACGGTGTTAATTTTATGTTAAAACTATATATATTGTTTCAAATCTTCTGGTGTCTTATCAAGTGATGGCGTTGAATGTATAACAAAACACAAAGCAAACACACACAGCTTTAATAGGCATTATATATATCTGTATATATATATATATATATATATATATATATATATATATATATATATATATATATAATGCCTATTAAATCTAGTCTTATACTTACAAAGGTGTAATTATATATACACACGTAATAAACAAAATAATTAGGTACAATCTGTAATACATATGGAATTATATATGTATATAGATATATAAAAATTGCTATTAATGACGGGTACTATGGATATTAATAGGTGCTATATTTTATATTAATATTAATAAGCCTCAAAATAAAATCTTTTTTTAAAAACTATTTTCATCTGGTTCGTTGTACTTGAGAAGGTTTTTGTTTTTATGTTTGCATGAAGCAATCAATTCACTCCTTTTGTTCAGTAGGTTAGGTGTTTTAAATTTTGTAAAACACATAAGTAACATTTGTTTCCATTTCCATATTATTGTTTAGCTTTCGCGATTATCTCACTGGTAAAGGATGTGTTCTTATAATTGCTTTTTAATCGTCAAAATGTTTCAGAGTGTTGTGCAGATTTTGTATTTAATATTGTTTAGTGTCAACTGATGCTGATAAAAACGCAATTTCCAGTTGTTATCGGTGGAACGAAAGTAGTATTTAACACCGTTGTCTGAATTGATTCTCGCTGTGTAGATTGTCTTCGGCCGTGCACTGGTCATTTAGTGGGCAGGTTACATTTTTTACGACGGTTGAATTGACTTTTAGTAGAATAATATTTTACTATTTTTTTGTGTACTTGCATAATATTTTATTGTTATATAATTATCGATGTTTAATATAGCTATAGCTTGCCTTAATATTATTTTTGTTGAAATCTTTTTGAGTACCGGAGAACGGCGAAAGTGTTTGTGAATTAAATTTAGAACATATCTACCTATATTGGTTTGAACATTACTAATATAAGGTGGATTGAAACATATACTGTTACATTTAAGTTGATTATAGCTTCCTTTTATTTTTATTGCTTCTTTCTTTGTACTCTAAATTCATTTTATGTTTTTCTAAAACTTTGTACATTTAGTTTTATTATCGTAAAATATATTTTGTTAGCGGAATTGGTCGATAACATAAATTGTACTGACTTGTGTAAGTTGTCAAGAATGCTTTTATGGTTGTCTGATTTTCTGTCGATGTACCTCTGGTTGTATGAGTCCTTACTGTATTGTTTATACAGACCTTTATTCAAGTCTATTGTAACGTCAAGGAAATTGATCAACTTAGCGTTAATTTCGGTGGAAATATTACGTTTATTGTCCTTAAAAGATTTAGTTAGGTCCTTTCTTTACCGATCCGCTTATCTTGGTCTCAATTTAAGAATAAGTATTCCGTCGTCTCTGTATATTCCGTTGTTTTATTTTTATATCAGATTTAAATCTCAGTCTCCAGACCAACAGTATCCCTACAAGTTCAAAGGTCTCCGTAGAATCATGTGCTCTCATGGATACGCAAATGTTCAGTTATTTCTTTTAGTCCATAGACTTCCGTGGTGAAATAGCATCGGTTTCTGTGCCTGTCATATTATTTGTTTTCCTCCAGAGGTTTTGAATTCAGAGTTGTTCTTCTCTTAGAATAGTTGTCATCCAATATTATAGAACACAGTCTGTCCTGCTATTTATCCATAACGGAGGGGAGAAGAAAAATAGTCATACCTTTCGCTAGGGTATTAGCACGTAAGTGAATGTAACGGATATGACTGGAAATCGATTGCGCAATACGAGTCGGTATCCATTATCCCATCGTGTCTCCTCGCCCATATATATATATATATATATATATATATATATATATATATATATATATATATATATATATTTGTATTTGTAGGTCTGCTGGTTTGGATCGTGATTACGATTCCAGTGTAATAAATTATAACCATGAAATATTAGAATCTTAGTGTTTGAGCCTTTTATATTATATTCTTCCTCTGTCCTGGACATTGATTTCTACCTGGATTCTATCTTATTGAGAATTTATATATATATATATATATATATATATATATATATATATATATATATATATATATATATAAAATTAAAGATAAACAGACCACTTTAAGTCTCCATTGTAATAGTTTATTTCACCAGGGACCTTTAAAAATACCCTGGATCATCAGACATCACTTACAAAAGATGAAACGAAAGAAGATGAAAAACTTTTTACGGGTAGTATTAAGTTCATGTAATTTAACAGAGAGGGTAGCGAGGAGTGGTGTGAGAGACATGGTCGAGTTTAGAGAGGGTTTATTTTAATATTTCTTTCTATCATACTTAATATTGAGGAAGGAGGGGGTAAGGATCAGACATTGACCTATTTAATCAGTCAACTTAATGGAAATGATATGTTGAAAGGAAAGGAGAGAAAAGAGAAAAAGAAATAGAAAAAAGTGGGAAGTAAAGAGAAAGGAGATGTATTTAGGGTTTACGGAGGAAGGAGAGGGTGTATAGTTTTAGCATTTTAGGTAAATAAAACAGATTTTAACGTTTGATAGTAATTTAAATGTTTAAAAAAAATCCACGAAGAAATTAATTTAATGCTTGTTAGAAATTTAAATATTTAACTCCTTTACAAATAAATTATGGATTTAATATGAGTTAAATACTATATTTAAAAACACATTAATAAAAAAACACATTAAAAAAATTTTAAATATAAAATTTTACTAATAGTAATCTTTTAATATTGTAAATGACAGTTAAGGTAACATCTTTATGAGTTTGAGTCGAATTCATGAATAAAATTTGTAATTATTTTTAAATGGGTAATCTTTCTTACTTAAAGTTTAGGTTTTAAATTAAGATGGAGTACTATTTGAAGGTAAAGTTAAAAAATTGTTTTTTTCATATATATATACCACATATACATTTATGTAAATCTCACATATACATAGTTTTATTTACATTTGCAATTACACACATAAGCACAAACATACACAGGTACCTATGCATATTCATATATAAATACATACACATATATTTACAAATATGTACACATATTCATATTATATCTATTTAAATTTTTCATTTAATTTTACATTTAATGTTTAAATGTTAGCTGGTGACTTAAGTGTGTAAATATCAATAAACAATTCCTAATTGTAATACTTTTTACTATCAAGACTGATAATTAAAGATTAATATATTTAAATTAAAATTGAATTACCTCCAGAATAAGAGATTTCACGAAACGAAAATTTGGTTCTACACAAGGATGCTGATAGTACCATAACCGTATGTGAAACGACCAAGATGCTTAAAATTCATATCAGAAACAGACAGTTGAAATTTCTACGACATACAATGAGGAAGTGGGGATTGAAAAATGTACTACTCAAAGGATATGTTGACGGCAAGCGAGGCAGGGCAAAAACGAGTAAATGAATTCCATGAAGGATTTAGGAGAGTTAATGACAAAGTGAAATTTCCTTAATCGAAAGACAGGAAATTGTGGAGAACCATTAACGCCTAAGTTATGAAGTGACTCGATGCATAGAAGAAAAACAAGTAGATATTTATGAGGCAAGGTTTTCCAATATCGCGGACAGCATATTCGTTGATATAAAGTGTGCGCCCATAAAAATCAACACTGAATTGTGATTGTGATTGGCAGTTTCACGCCTTAAGTGATTCTAAGCTCGAGAGAGATGATCACTTCAGACTGTCGGGGGGAAAATGTTGGTTTCTATTTACACACTATCTATCTATCTATCTATCTATCTATCTATCTATCTATCTATCTATCTATCTCAGTTTGTTTTTATCTGTCTCTCTATCTCATTCTCTATCTATCTATCTATCTATCTATCTATCTATCTATCTATCTATCTATCTATCTCGTTCTGTTTCTATCTAATTCTATTTCTGTCTATATAATTCTGTTTCTATGTATCTATATATCTATCTCAGTTTGTTTCTATCTGTCTATCTATCTCATTTTCTATCTATCTATCTATCTATCTATATATATATATATATATATATATATATATATATATATCGTTCTGTTTCTATCTCGTTCTATTTCTATCTATCTCATTCTGCTTCTATCTATCTATCTATCTATCTATTTATCTCATTTTGTTTCTATCTATCTTATTCTGCTTCTTTCAATTTATCTATCTATCTATCTATCTATCTATCTATCTATCTATCTATCTATCTATCACATTTAAGCCTGTTCATTTCTAAGTCTGTCGATATCTATCATTCTTTCTTTCTATCTCTCTCTCTTTATATATATATATATATATGTGTGTGTGTATGTGTATGTGTGTGTGTGTGTGTTTGTGTGTTATATTTCATTTTCCCTTTATCCTACAAGGAATGTAACAAACTAAAAATCCAGATGTTCTCCTCTTTCATCTATCTATTCATCTATCTATCTATCTATCTATCTATCTATCATCTATCTATCTATGTCTCTTTATAGCTCAGTCTGTTTTCTATCTATATATATATCTATCTATCTATGTCTGTTCATATTCTGTTTTTTTTCTTTCTATCACATCTGTTCATTTCTAACTGTTAATATGTATCTTTCTATATCATTCTCCTTTGACTCTCTTTCTCTCTATCCCCTCTCAATATATATATATATATATATATATATATATATATATATATATATATATATATATATATAATGTCTTTGTTTGTGTGTTATTGATCACATTTTGTTTCGTCTTATTGGAATTCATCGGAACATTTGATTGATGGCTAAAGCCACCCTCATTCGTTATAAACAAAACAATAGAGAAAGACAATCTAAAAATACCATTGGCATTTATTCAAATTGACTGTTTTAACATACCAAAAATCAACTCTCTACACTACGACAAACACTGATATATTATTCTTACCTTATTACAGTAATTCTCCCCGCCTTCATATATAATACGCACCCCTAAAAGTGTACTGAAAGTGTGGAGAAAATGTTTCTATATATGCATAATACGCATCCCTTGTTTGGTAATCAAACCCTATTAAGTGTGCATCTCCAATTTCATTACGGTCAGAATTTTTTTTAAAATATGCTTTTAAAAATAGTATATTTTATTCTAATTTATTTTTATGAAAAATCTGATTTCATTTTACGGCAATTTTTAAAGGATTTTTTTTAGTTGTGCATAACACGCACACTTGATTGTGCTTATCATTTTTTAGAAAATACATGGGGAATTACGGTATTTCTCACCACTGTACCAAAGACGATTTCCATTACTGATTGTCATAAATTTCGGGATGTCACATATTAACCAACGTTTGTTTAACGAGTCCAATTTGCGTGAAGCCTGATTAAACAATGAAAATCAAGCAATACAAAAGTAAAAGAAAAAAATGCCATACTTTCTTTCTCATTAATATTTTTCCATATCTTAATCTCTTTAATAAAAGTGAGACATTAGCTTAATAAATGTTTCTTATTTGTTCTTTATCTTAGCTGATCTTATTATACATACATAAAATAGGAAAAGGAAGAAAAGCACTATTTATAAAATTATAACAAATATGAGTGAGTGTGAGCATTTAAATAAATGTAATGAGTTAAAGATGACGCTCATTTTCGCAACAATAGTCTCATCGCTTAATAACATATATATATATATATATATATATATATATATGATTCCTTCGATACATAATCGTTTCAAAACAAAAAAAGAAAACCTCATATACTTTATATTTGTTACTTTAACTCAATTTAATTTTAATAATTATATTGAGGTTCTCGTCTCTCGTTTTTGAAACATCAGAACACTTATGTAGCAAAGGAATCATATTTTTTTAATAATTATAATTTAAGCTCTACTTCTTTATAGAGCACTTTTTATTTTTTAAATTAAAACAAAACTACTAAAGAACTCCGAATTATTTACATAACGTGTTCTTTCTGCATATCTACACACACACACACACACATACACACATACACGCACACGCATATATATATATATATATATATATATATATATATATATATATATATACATCAAACTGTAGTGCAGTTCAATTTATATTACAATGAGTGGATTACTAAAATTATTGATATAAAATGTAGAAATCTCTTCGCAAACAAAATTTTAAAAGTGAAATACGCTACAAATTACTCGATGCATGTTATCATGTTTGTTTTAAAAATTATAAGCTGTATAAGGTCTTTTCATTGTAATATATATATATATATATATATATATATATATATATATATATATATATATATATATATATCCAAATGAAATTATTTACATTACACTATCTGGCATCTAGTCTACAATCGCTATCCCGCAGACGAGCCGTGGCCTCCCTCTGTCTCTTCTACAAATATTTTCACGGTAACTATTCCGACCAGCTACTTTCGCTGGTTCTCGGACTCCATGGATTTAAACGAGCTACCTGGCTGGCATCTCTCTCTCACCCTTTCACTGTAGAAACGCTTAAATGTAACCGTCTCTTCTTCTTAAACAGCTTCTTCTCCCGCACTTCCCGTCTGTGGAAATTCCTTCCCTTTATTTGCTTCCCCGATGACTATAATCTTCAAATATTCAAGTGTAATGGTAATCAACATCTGACACCCTGAACTTGTTCCACGTCCTTCTCTGTATTCTTTCCTCAGACACGCCTCTTTACTCTTACTCTCAAACCTCTGTAACCCCTTGCGTGCTAGTGGCACTCCCGCCTTGATTGTGGTGAATTGCCTTAAAAAATGTTGTTTTATTTTTTTCAAAATTAAATAATTCTGTTTCTTATGGCCCTAATATATAATTAAATAAAGGTCCACCTTCTTCAAGTATTTTTTAATGTTTTTATTCAGATTTAGTAATGCCATGTATTGGCGTCTAATTAGTAGGATTTATATCTTATATTGATGTTTTATTTTTTTAAATTTCATCTACAGATTACTTAAAGAAGTTTCCTGAATCTGAAAATTAAACCAAAAAAAAATCTGTTGAAGTTAACTTTACGTCTGATTATACTTCTTCCCCTACCCTCCCCTAACATGTCATATTTGTCTGCCATCACAATACATTTGTAGTTTACATGTTTTCCTAAGTGTCAATGTTGACCTGTCTAAGTTCCGGTTTAACATCTTATGAAAAAAAAATAACTTCCCCACCTCAAGCTTAATTTTCTAATTAGCGAAGATCTGACATTCACTTGGTTGATTACGACAAACCCTCAAGACTATTTTTAATTCTGTCCATGTGTTTTCTTACCTCACCTTTATCTTTCGGAAAAGAGGAGATTTTCATTTTTTTTAAATTAATTAATTGACACTCACTTACCATTCGCCTGAAAAGCTACAAAGTCGTATCGAAACACAAAAGCTATTTTGAAGCGATTTCAACATGATTTTGTTTTAATATCTAAAATAAAATAATAATACTAATATGTATATATATATATATATATATATATATATATATATATAGGTAGATAGATAGATAGATATAGAGAGAGAGTGTGTGAGAGAGAGTAGAGGTAATAAATCCGTTGGTATATAATTCAAGTGGATCCTAATAATATAAAATATTAAAACTGATCCACAAAAAGACATGTTGAAATCAAAGAAATGGATTAGTTTCAAAATGTCGTCACAGGTGTAGATTTAAACTTATAATATTTGTTTCTTAATTATCTAACACTTCTAATAATATGCATGTTGCTTTAGTTATAACTATATTTTGACTTCTCCGTTTTAATCCTATAACTTTCCACTACTTTTTGAACTCCCGTTCATTTTTTTACTATGCCCTTTAAATTTCTTTGAAAGATTTATATTTTATATATATATATATATATATATATATATATATATATATATATATATATATATATATATATATATGGAGTTTTCTTTTTATTCTTAATATTTAGATTATCTTTAAATTTTAAAAAAAAATTAAATAATTGATATATTTTTTTTAATTATTATTTTTTCTTAATACTTTTCATAATACAAACTATTTAAACGATTCATTGTTTATTTTAATATATTTTATTTGTAAGCATAGTTTGATAATTTTGAGTGGTAATAATTTTTGTGTTATTATATAATTAAATATTAATATTTCTGATATTATAAAACTCCCTTTTATTTAATCTTCCATTAGTATAACTTCATCTTTCTTATAATTACAACTTTGGGTGTTAAAGTTTATATCTAGGTTGAATTTGTGTAGTTAATTTTTCGTTTAAGCCAGGCAACATACGCCCTCCCCTTAATACTTAATGTTATCTGCTATGTTATTGGTTGGCTATGTATCACTACTTCAAATGTTATTTTTGAAATATTAAATTTTAAATTTCGAGTTCCAATACAGTCCACCATTCGTGTTGAACAAAGCCAAAGTATTGACGTTGGTTGAAATAGTCTATACTTCCTCATAAGGTAAATTTATATATATATATATATATATATATATATATATATATATATATATATATCAGAAATAATATAAGCGAACTTTTCGCGGGACGAGAACTTTTCAGTCCACACTTGCAGACAATTGAAATTTCGGAGCTGTTTTAACACGATAGGTTTAGCGAATTTACCAATGTATCTTTCATGGTATCTTTCGCAGAATTGATCTCTGTCAAGCCAAGAATCACTACCCATAAAAGAACCTGATGATTGAATATTTATGTAGTCTATGTTTAGTGGAATGGTTCGACAAAAATTCGAAATAATAGTTAGGTGTGTCGAGAGAATCTGTTATTAAAAAACAACAACAGGAATATAATGAAAACAAAATATGAAATAAAATAATTGTAAGAATGAAGCCTGAAAAATCACACGTTGGAATAATAAAGAAATAATATAAAAAAGATATAATAAAAATATCAAACCATTTTGCTGGGTTACCTAACAGCAATAATAATATGGAGTAAACTATTGCTAAAATTATATTAATAATGAATAGAATATATGGCCAAATAGCTAGAAGAAATTACAACGATACTAAGATGGGGTAAACTAGCAATAAAATCATTGTAATAATGTAGTCTGTATTAGGCTAGACGACTGTAGTAAATGCAACAATAATAAGATGGAATAAAACTAGCAAGAAAATAATAGTAATAATGAAGAGTGTATTGAGCCAGAGTGTTTGGATAAAAACAAAAATAATAAGTTGGAATAAAACTAGTAATAAAATAATGGTTATAATGAAGAGTGTATTGACTCAGAATTTTTAGATAAAAAGCAACAATAATGAGATTGAATAGAACTAGTAAAAATAGTAGTAATTACGAAGAGTGTATTGACGAAGTGTGCATGAATAAAAATTAACACAATAAGACGGAATAAAATTCATAATATTAGTAATAATGAAGATTGTATTGACCGAGAGTGTTGGGATAAAAACCAACAATAAGAAAAATGATTCAAACTGGTAAAATTAATTGAAATAATGAATAATTTTGACACAG